CTGAGATTAGGAACAGGGATCTTCTGGCCCAGAGCTAAAAACAAAAGAACAACCTCCCAGGAAGTCCCTTAGGAACACCTGGTGTGGATCGCACCGGAACCACCTTTCTCTGGAGTGGGGAGGGGGAAGCAACCATGCAAATAAAGTATTTGCATTTTAAGTGCATACATAAGGCACAGACTTTGGGATCCAGGATTAAAACAAACAAAAGTTCAGCATATGGATTCTGAAGACGAGAGGAAATGAGTGTTTCTGCCCTCTAGCTGGCAGGAAGCTTGTGGGTCTGAGCAGCCTGTCAGTGTCAAGACCCACAGACTTTCCAGGGGAAGACGAGGGTGCGAGATACATACTCTCTGCTCCAGGAGTGCCCGGCGGATGGAGACCCGCTGCTCAAGTTCCTTGATCTCGCGTTCATGTTGTGCCTCAGTGTGGATCTTGATCTTGCTCTGATAGGCGTTCAGCAACTCCAGCTCCTGCTGGAGCTGCATCCGCAGGACCTGGTACTCAGCCTCCTGGGTCTCGTCAAGCCGCAGCTACGAAGGGACAATCATGGAGATAAGGAACAGGACAGCACCACAGAATGAGCCAAGGCGAAGGCAGCTGCTTTTAAGGGCTCAGAAAGAGAGAGCAAGAGCACACTGTTCACCTAGCATTGCTGTTGCTTCTGGAAAAGGACTCAGATCTATATGGCTTTGCTCCTCAGCAGTAGGAAAACCCGCACTGCTCCCCCTGTTGCAATGGGGCAGTCTCAATGGCTCCAGGGAGATTATGCCCCGAAAGGGACAAGGCTCGTCTCCCAGGGATCCCTGGTTAGCAATAAATCTAATGTAAAAAAATTACACAACAGGAAGAAACTGAGTAGGTGAAGAAGCTCCTCCCGCAAGGCAAGAAGCAAAGGCACCTGGGAAATTTCTGCCTATCCTGTGTAAAAAAGCATGCAAGGATTTCTGGAGGGAAAACAGGGTTGGGGAAAGTGTCTGAATCAGCATTAAAGGGCAGATGGCATGCTGAGACTTGATAGGTGGGTCTTAAGCCATCAGAACACACAGCCTTCTCCAACAAATTTCATTCCCAATGTGTTGGGCTTCCATAAGCCCCTAGATCTCCCAGATACCAACTCCCATTGCACCTATGGTGACTGGGGATGATGGGAGTAGTATTCCATCAAATCTGGAGGGCACCAGGTTAGGGAGGACTGACCCGGGTAGCCTTGGGCAAGTTTGCCTCCATCAGTCTTCAGGAAGTCAAAACAACAGCGACCAACCTCAGTGGGATGCCCCATCAGTATAGCAGATGCGGCACTACCTGGCCAGGTAATCCCACCGGACAGACACAGGAGTTCAACAATTGGTCTTCCTACAGAACTCTGGGGATTTTTGTGGGGAGGAGAAGGCAAGTTCTCTGGCACATTTTCACCATCCTCACTAAAATCATTTTTCCAGTGACTCTTGGGGTGAGGGGCAGAATAGGGAGGTAAGAGAGAATAAAGTGCTAAAAAACCAATGAAATGTCTTAGTGAAGACCAGATCTCATGCTACCACTTACAGGGGCTGTATGAATCCTGCACCTTTTACAAAAGTGGGTGGATTGAACAAGATTGTTCCTTCTGTATCATACTTCTTTCAACTAGAAGTTTTGGGGAGAAAGGGAGGGCAGGCCCAGGAAGGGAGAAAGCTCCGGAAGAATGTTTCCGGCCTGAACATCAGAAGGCAGGCAGAGAATACTGTCCTTTCACTGGTGGAGAAATGGACCAATTCCCACTGGGGGAGGGCAGAGTGGGGTACCTACGGCCTGGGTGGAGAGCATTTCATTGATGCTGTGGTCGTACTGCTCAGCCAGGATGGCCAGCTTGCGGGTCTGCTCATCCTTCAAGCGCTTGAGGATTCCCTTGTGCTCACTCTTCGGGGTGGTCTCCAAGAGGTGGTTGCGAAGGGCCTTGTATTGCCGCGTCTGGATCTTGCATGTGTCCTGGAACTGCTTTTTAATTTGCAGTTCCTTGGACTGGGATAGCAAGAAAAAGGAGGGGACAAAAAAGGATGACAAGAAAAAGAAAAATAGGACAGCCCAAGTGACCAGATGAGGGAAGGGGAAAGTAGTAATAAATAAATAAATAAATAAATAAATAATAAATAAATAAATAAATAAATAAATAAATAAATAAAAGGACAAATGTTCCAAAAAGAAAAAACAAAAGGGCAAGGGAGGAGGAGGAGGAGGAGGAGGAGGAGGAGGAGGAGGAGGAGGGAAGAGAGAGAGGGAGAGAGACAGGAGCATGTGTTAGACAAATAACTCCCACCAGCAGGGTTTTGGTGGGGAGACCCTGTAATTCACTGAACCATTGTACCGTCCCCTTTTAAGTCAAAGCCACCTTAATATGTTATGTTTTCTACACAGAGAAGCACTTTCACAACTCCATGGCTGCTGCCTCCAGTTCCAACAAAGAACCAGACCGTGGTCCAATAGCAGAGTGCCTGCATTGTATGCAAATGGTTCCAGGGTTGATCCTGGTCATTGCCAATCCAAGGGTCTCCTGCAGCAGGGCCACAGTCTGTGAATGACTCCCCTCTGCCCAAGACCCTTGGGAGTCAATGCCAGGTGAAAGTAACAGGAGCGTATTGGGATGGGTGGACCGAGGGCTGATTGGTATAAAGCAGCTTCATATTTTTCATCATGGAAGGAAAGCTGAATACCAATGTAATAGAAATGATGATGATGACGACAACGAAGCAGCCTGGTGGCAATGTGTTGATTTTTTTTTCCAAAATAGGGCTGCATTACAAAGTGAGAAGGGGTTGAAAGGCCAGGTGAAGAGCTCTTCAAATAAGGTGCAAAGTGAGTGTCTATGGGATGGTGATGAATAGTGTGCCACTGATGCACAGGCTTAAACCAGAAATTCCTGATCAATCTTGGGACCGACCCCTCAGTGTCCTTTCATGCAGAAACCCACTCCTGCTTTCATCTCAGACATTTTGCAGCGGCCTAATTTGCTGCTGGTGATGTTGCTAACCTTTTTAGTTGTTAGCCAATTGGGAAGCAGAAAACCCTTGCCCATCTGTTGCAAACCACCCCAAGATCCACCAATAGAAGCCATTCTGTCATCTGCCCACTGCTAAGCTAGGCAAAAATCCACCTGAACCCCATCCTCTTCCCTGCCCTTCTTTTCGAGTTCTCCCTTTATGTGCTTTGGGCAATGGTGCCTCGATTCGAGCCCCGGAGGCTACAACCAGGATGGGAGAACCATTCAGCACAGACCGATGCAGCTTACTCAGAGAAGAGTGGGCAGAATGCCTCACTCCTAAGCCTAGAACAAGCTGAGGGAGAGTGGGCATGCGTGCGTGTACACATTCACTCCAGATCTAACCTCTGGTCCGTTCCTGTACTAAAAAGGCACAGATTCCATCTATACAAGATGGTGAGCTCCCAGGTCAGAAATGTAAATGTTCAGTTGAACAGGGCATTTATTTGCAGGGGGAGCAAATTGTACTAAAGAAGTGTCATGTGACACACTCTCATCACCTACTTCCATCATCATTATGATTATGATTATGATTATTACATTTCTATGCCGCCCCTTGCCGAAGCCTCGGGGCGGCTTACATCACCTCTGCCATTCATTGCACTGCCTATTCAACTCTGCTGTAGACCAGGGAACCCTCTTTGCTGTCACTGTTCCTCCGAAGCTCTCCGCAAGGCACCTCGTGATGCCAGCATGTATGCTCAAGCTCAGTGAGAGGGACCTCTCACAGAACCCTTTTTAAAGGTGACACTTAACTGCCTTCTCCTTATATAAACAGAATCCAGGCTCCTTAAGGAGCACATCAGCAAAGAAAGGGGCAGGAGTGGTGGTATGTGTGGGCTACCCCCAAACACTTCCACAAAAGGATTTCAAATACAAATGCTTCCATTCGTATCACCAGTTCCAAGAAGGCCTAGTCTAGGAAAAACAGAACGAGTTCCAACTGCTGTGACATCTCCTGGTTAGGCTCTAGGTGGGTCTACAAAAGTACAATAAAAATATTTCAGGAATAGATGGACAGTAGAGGAGCAGAAGATGGTAGGAGATTCTTGGGCCTTGGGGTGCGGGGACTCAGCTCCACACCTGGGTTGTCAGGTGTACTATTCTGATGGTCAGAGAGGAATGCTGAGACATGCTGAGATTATACAGAGGAAGTTGTCTGCACTGAGACCAGATTCTGCTGGAGGACCTCTGTACCAGGCAGGCCTAAAGGCATTCAAACAAACTTCTTGGCCTTTGTCATGGCTGGCTTCTGGGAAACCCCAGAAAGTCTGGGAGATGAGCTTTGGGAAGAAAAAGTGGTAGGAATCCACCTGGCTGGCAACTGTCACAAAATTGATACTGGCCTGTGCCCAAGTCAGAACCCACAAGTGCAATTATTCTGTGCATCTTCAGTACGCAAAGGCAAGTTGGTGCTGGAGGCATAAATGTCAAATGCTACATGTCATTCCCATTTAGGGCACAACCCACCTGGAACAGCTGGTCAGTATGAGACGAGCAAGAAGCGCCTAACATTCATTCCAATATGGTTTGCATAAGATAATTTCCCAGTGGACTGTGCCCCAGAGGTCCAAGCTGTTTCCCACACCAATGCTTTTTATGGCATCCAAAAGCCGCTTGTCCAAGGCAATTGCCTCTCCAAAGTGAATCTTTTCATAACTACAATTTTATGTTGTCAACCCTTTGGTGAATGCTGTCCAAATGTCCCCTTAAGGCTTATACAACTGCTCAGACTTGGCTTGTTTATTTTAAATAATTGTATGAACTCTCTTCATTCAAGGTGGTGGGCATGTTATGGGGCTTCTCAAAGCAAATGTACAGCTACATTGACAGTGGGATGTGGGGAGACAAACACTTAATTCTGCTATTTAGGATTTGAAAAATATACTAGCCATTGTAACACTAGGATATATGATTTGGGGGAGAAGAAATGTAGGTGTATTGGGGTATAGAGGGTGTGAAAACAGACTCGTAGCCCAGCTCCTAAGTTTAAAGTGCCCCATTTTATTAAAAATATCAGAAAAGAATTAAATCAAACTCAATTGAATTGTGAATTGTGGTGCAGAATTTTTTTTTTATTAATTTCCTTCAAAATTTCACATGCATCCACAATGGGGAAGGGAGAAATAAATAACCACAAATCAGCACCTCCCCCACACACAAAATGGGAGAAATAAATTAAAAATACTTAACAAAGAAATTTAAAAAAATCAAGAGCATAGGGAAAAATCACAACTCAAACACTCACACACAAAAATGGGAAGAAATTCAAATACACTATTAAAATGGACAAAACAGAACTTGAATTAATGTAAGTTTGGCCAAAAAAGGTAGAGGAATGCTAAAAACAAATAAATCTATGGATAAAGAAAAACTGGAATAAAAGACCACAGGTGAATCAAAAAAGGGAAATAGAAGCAAGTGTTTAATGCACAAATGGGATTAAAAACCAGGATGGATGAATGTGGAATTAAAAACAAGGGATAATTTCAAATTGGTTAAAATTGAACAGATTACTAATAACTGGGAATAATAAAAAGAAATGTACAGAGGAAATGATTTAAAAATAAAGCATAGGCTATTAGTTCCAGCCTGATTTAACTGTATAAAACACAGTCTTTCTTCACATGATACAGAATTAGTAAAACGGAATGTTAAAAATCCTAGCTATGCCTGTGAAGCTAAGCAAGCACCATGGAAATAAATGGGATTTACTCTCCACATAGGTGCGCTCAGAATCACTGCTTGTGTAGTACAGAAAATGAAATACGCTGTTTTTCAAGCTCAATCATCTAACACTGTTTTTTTGTTTGTTTTGTTTTAAGGGAAGGACAATTTGTGTTTTTAGCACAAGTAAAATAGATCCGTTTTTGTTCTTCTATGTATTTTAAGATGTTAGCATCAAAGCTGTGCATATGAACTCTATGTGAGTCTGTGGTGCAGCCTTCCCCAATGAGATGCATTGGCGTACAACTCCCATTTATCCCAATCCTGGCTGGGGATTATGAGAGCTGTAGTCCAAGACAAACAAGGGGCACTAGGCTGGGGGAGGCTGCTATGCTGTTCCGGTGCTTACCTGGTTAAGAGTTAAAGTATCAAGGTACTCAATTTTACTGCTGCGCTATGACCAGTGTTGGCCGAGGAATAAAAGCTGGCACTACCCAGAACTCACCAACGTGGCTGCGGCTCGTGCTACACATGCAGCGGCCTCACCCAGGAATGCCTGGCCATCAAGCAGCACGTTGCAGGGGGAGGCTTCCGTTTCAGTTCAAGGGGAGCCAGATAACTATGGGTGAGCCCCTTTCCCCAGAAAAGTCCAACAAAATGGTTCACAGACCTGGCACTACGGCTGATCTGTAAATGGGGGTAGGAGGGAAAGGATGAGGAATACAGGAAGTACAAATGGGGCCCCCACTTGCATGTAGTAAGCAGCTTATGGAGTAGGAAAGCTGGCCCAAGCTGAGTCCCTGGGAAAAGGAAGAACTTAAGTCCTTGTGCAACAGAGTTCCTAGAGGTGTTCTCATACTTCATCAAGTTGCACAAATTGAGGTGACCTAAATTTCTATTTTGACTAGAACAAGAAGGCTGGTCCACCATCTGCAAAATGCCCAACCTTCCCAACAGCAGGGGAGATGAATAAATGGCAAACCAACTTCATTTCTATCTGTAACTTTAAAAGCTTGCATTTGTCAACACTTGCGTAAGTTTTCTTCCAGGTAGGTCTCCTTCATACTTTGCAGCATTTGCTCTCTTTTGCCAACAGGCAGCTGCCTCCACTAAAGCCAAATGATTAAAAGCCTAACGTGTGGTCTCTCATTTTCAGTTGCATTTTAAACAGGAAAAAACCTCCACTACTTGGCCCATCACGCTTTCAAATGAAAATACTGCAGCAAAAAGTTATATTTTTTTGGTGGATTCTCCCATTTTCTGTCAAAAACATATTAAAAAGAATCTCACAGTAGTTTCCCCTTCTCCTTCCCCACAAAAATGGTATTATATAAAGCTTACCAAAAAGGCCCCACAAACATACACAAATATATACATTCAAGTCAAAACAAAAACAAAAAAAATGAAATGAAGGGGATGTTACAAATAAGGAAGAAAATGATAAATATATATATTTATAAAACGGTGGGAAAATATATATATGAACGGCGAAAGAATCACCCAAAATTAGTAAACCCTCAGGAGCTGGGAAGAGTGTGCTTTCTTGAAACATGTATCCCTGCCCCTTTCATTTCAATAAGACTTTATGTCAAATGAAAAGAAGTTCAGTGTTTTGTGTGTGGAAAGTGGTTGTATTTCCGAGGGATTTGTGTCCTGAGACAATAATGGCTGGGCCCACATTTCATTAACGTATCACGCTCCAACACTGTCTGTACCTTGTTTGAGGTTTGCTATGCTGGCAGAAAACTGAGTCTCACATACCACTCCTTGTGGTGCAAAGTATGTTTAGGGTGGAAAGAGCAGTTTGGCCTCGAGTTTCAGAGGTGGAGTGTTTAGTGTTTGTAGGAGCAGAGTGTTCTGAACACTCCTTGCTGGGCCACCCGTACAAGGCCTGCCAACCTCCAGTGTACAAACCTGGTAGCACACGAGTGCCTCACACTTCCAGTTTGAGGGGCCTGGATCCTTTTGGTTTCCCCTGCTTCCCAACACCTCCCGGCCTTCTCCTCCCCCAGCCTGCATGAATGGCTGAAGATTTATCCCACCCGAACAGCCAGCTCAAAAGGGCGTCAGGTGATTCTTTCCTCGTCAGGATAATGAACACACAACAACGCCCCCAGTAAGTAAAGCGATGGGGAGCTGGCACAAACATCTGGATCCCTGCCCCCGGACCTCGAGGCCCCTTGCATCAAGCAGGCCCTGTCCCAGGTGGAGGTGCAGGGCTGACTGGCATTAAGGCATCTAATCATCCCCCATGCTTCCGATCCCTCTACACGAATCATCACACATCGGATGGAGATACGTTGCCTTCAAAAAATACTGCAACTGTCTCTGTCTGATCTTGGAGAATGCAAAAAAGAGGCCAACCTCCCAGAATTCTGTGGGTGAAACAGGATGAGGATGCCAAGTGGCCCCCTGGAATCCCCCTTATTTCGCAACGCTAGAGCAGACTGGAAACACCCAGATAGGGGTCACCTCCTGCAAAAACACCCAGAGCCAATTATCTCCAGGGTTTCTTGACAGGCTGGCCTACCTGCCCACGACTTCTTCTAACAGACCGCCTCACTGACCCCACTGAACGGCCTCTTGGCTTCGCTGCTTGTCCCGCCAGGCGGGGAATGCGACTGGGCCTTTCCTCCCGCAGGACGTGCAGCCCCTTGAGGCAGCGCAGGGCTGAAGGGGGCAGCTGGGCGCAGATCACCTCAGTGAGGAGCTTGTTGAGACGACAAATGGGCTTGGAGAGCAGGGCTGCAGCCTTGCGGTGCCAGGGGAGCGGTGGCTGGCGCTGGCGCGACAGCACTGGGATACGGCTGCGGAAGCCGCCCTTGTTGGTTTTGGGGAACAGCCGGAAGAGGCCCCGCTCGCTAACCAGCCCCAGGCGCTGCAGGGTGCGGAAAGCAGGGCGGGGGAGACGCAGCAGGGCCAGAAGCCAAAAGCGACGGGCTCGACGGGGAAGACCGCTCAGGCTGTGCCTTGCCATCGCCCCCAGGAGATAAAGGGGCAGGAAAAGCCAGGGGGAAGAGAGCAGGTAGGAGGCCAGGAGGATGACTGGCACGTAGAGGCGCCCCCGACTGGCACTCAGCCCCACCACACCCACGGCTCCTGCCATCTTGGCCAGAAGTAGAAAAGATGCTCCGGAGAGGAGGAAGATGGAATGCAACAAGGTGTATGTTACCCCCAGGCCCACAAGCACCCCTTCAAGGGCTAGGAGGACATCCTGAAGGCCTCCTCCCTGGGCCCACAGGGCGGCAAGGAGCAGCAGGAGGGTTGGGGCACAAGGACAGGCAGCAACCAACAACGCCAAGGTCACACAGAGCAAATGGGGCAGAATGGCTGCCACTGGCGCTGGGAGCGGGTGGCTTCTGGTGCTGCCCTGCTGGCTGTAGGGGTCGTCGGGGGCTGGGCAACCATCCCCCAGGCCTCGCTGGGCCCCCTTTTCTAGGAAAGCAGGTAAGGAGTGAGGGTACAAATCCTCCTCACCTCCGAATGGCTCTGGCTTATCAGCCTCTTGCCCATCAGGCTCTGGGATGCCTGGACGCCCACAAGTTGGTAAAAGAACTCCAGACCCCCCTCCATAGTGATCCAGTCCTCCAAGGAACGTCTGATCTAGTTCTAGAGCGGCAGGTCCCTCTCCACAGAGCTCTTGTTGTTTCAGGCTTGCTCTGCTGAAGTCCAGAACATGCCCTTCTTTGCTATCTGGACAAAAGCCTTTGCTGTCCTTTCCCTCGAGCCCAGGGCATCCCTGTCTCTGCTCTAGAGTGGCAGCATCCTCCCCATCTGGAATTTCACCTGCCAGAGTTTGCCAGCCTGGCTGCAAGTCTCCCCAACCCCTTGATTCAGACATCAGAGCTTCCAACCCTTGCTCACCTTTTTGGGACCAGTCTGGTACAAGGGCCCCGACATATACTGCTTGCAAATCTAGATCCTCCTCCTCCGGCTCAAAGTCTAGAACTGCATGTCCACAACCATCTAGCTCAGGCTCCAGAATCCCACCTTCATGGGTACACTTCCCTAAAAGGTCTGGACATTTTATTCCTGAGTCTACAATAGCAACATCACCCTGAGTGATCTCCAGAACCTGTCCAGTAGGTTTGCTATGCTCTAGATCACCACGGCAAGGAGTGCCTGTCTCCAGAACAGCAGATTCTACATGCCCAGTGTGCACACATGTTGGTTCTGCATCCACCAGGGGTTCCTGAACCCCGGCCAGGCAGTCACAGGGCCCTGGCTCACCCAAATGGTCCTGTCTGGACACTAGACTTCCAGCCTCCAAGCTGTCCATTTCCACAACCCCCAGATGCCCCTGCCCTGGCTTCAGAATCCCCGCATCCTGCCCTTCTGGGCACAACTGGCGGCAAGGCGAGGTGTAGGTAGCACCTACTTTGAGGCTTTTAGGCTGCTGCCGGACCTCCATAGCATGTTTCTGGCGCAGCTCTTGCTCGCGACGCTTGTTGTATTCCAGCTGGTTCGAAAGCTCTGTCTGATGCTGCAGACGGGTGAGTTCTGTGCGGGTGCGTTGAACCGTGTGCAGGTGCCGGAATTCCAGCTCCTGAGTGGACTCGTGCTGGCGGAGCAGCATGGCGCATTCCAGGTCCTTCTGTGTCTGCTTTTTGTTAAGTTCCTGGAGAAAGCAAGGAGGGAATGGGGTTAGATCTCTGTGTCCCATGAAGTCCTGCTTCTCTGTGGCATTAAAAGGCTCACTGTACTTTTTGGAGATATAAAATGGGGGGGGGCAGACCACCCCACTCTCTGAATTTTGTTTTTAAAAAATCCGTATTTGGGCACAGGGGAAAGGTATCCAGTGTGGCTGCTGGCTATATCTTAGAGGCACTCTTTGTTGCTCCTTGCCCTAATGTATGGCCAGTCTGCACACTCTACCCACCTGAGTAAATACAGAATTTGGGACTGGGTGGAAAGTTTGGCATCCTGAAAAACCCAATTTTCTTCTTTTTCTAACCATTAAGGCTGATGAAGAAAACCTTCCAGGCAATACTTGGTGCCTGGCACACAATTCTCGCCTGCTTACCACACTGCCACTTTAAGACAACTCTCTAACGGGCCTGGCTTTTCCATAACCCCATTCTTGCCCCACACTCCCCACAGCCTCTGGTTACTGGTCCCCACCTCCCGCAGTAAGTCCTGGTCTAGGTTGTGGCGGGCCAGCAGCATCTTGCGCTTGTACTGGCGGCACTGCAGCTCAAAGTACTGTCTCTGGCGACGCAGAAGGTTGGCCTCTTCTTCAGCCTGGTAATGCTGCATGTTCTCTTTCTGCCTCAGCAGCCACTCCTGCTTCTCTCGCTTGGGTGTGCTCTGGTTTTCCTGAAGCTCCTAAAAAGGGAACAAGAATGCAGTGAGAAACCAGACAATGCAAATGGCAGCGCTCGCCCTGCCTTTCTAGGACTGGGGAGAAGATGGAGACAAAACCGTCAGCACCAAGGAGCATCTGCAATGTATGGTTGTTACCAAATGTTCCGTGTCACTTTGTTGCAGCACATTTTTGTTCCTCTTGTTCTTACTGGAGAGGGAGTCAGGAAAGAGAGGTGGCACCGCTGGTAGTTAAGTCCATACCAGGTACTTCCCACCAAGGGCCTCTGCCCATCAGAGAGGGAGAGAGAATGAACACTTGTTCAAGCAACTCTATGGCACTGCTCCCTCTTCATGAATAGGAAGGTGGTTCTGGCTTGCAAGGCATTAAGCGATATGAGGGCAACACTGGAATGTTCCTTGACGCAGGTGGGGCAAGTGAAGTCTCCCGCATTTCTGTGCACGCATCATTCAGGATTGTTCCCTCAAAGCAGCCTTCCTCAGTCTGGTGTTGAGACTTTAGTCCAACGCGTGCGGAGGTTTACTGGGTTGAGGAAGGCTTCCTTAAAAACTGCCTGAATATCCTCTCAAGGACCCCAGTTTAAATCACCGTGAGTTCACTCCTAGGTATGTTTAGACAGAAAAAAGGCCTACGATTCTAGCACATCCCATGCATGGATCAGGTATCAGCAAAACTAATTGAAAAGCAGGCTATTGTGAAAGGGGCTGAGCATTAGCTATGCCAGTCTTACAGGCTTTGGGAGCATATTCCTCCCCTGCCTCCGAGAGGACTCCTAGTCACAGTCAGTCTAGAATGACCCAACTGGGAAAAAATGGGGGGCTGTAGGTAAGGCAAGGGACATGGGAAGGCATGCTGCCAGACTAGTGCAGGACAAAAACTGCTCCCTTGCAAATGTCCTTCTCTCCTTAAAAGAAGGTACCTCTTTAAGCTGCTCCTTCCGTAACTTATACTGGCGCTTCTGAGATTCCAGCAAGTTGCCTAACTCCTTCTTCTGCTGGCCCAAGATATGTTGCTGGAATTTCTTCTCTTCAGCCAGAGCTGCCTTTGCCTGTATAGTCCCCATGAGAGGACAAGGATAGAAAGACAACTTAGCCAAACTCAGGGCATCATGTAAAAGGAAATGTCATGCAAGTGCAGAAAATGCAAAGGTGAAAAAAGGGTTTCTTGTTGTTATGGGGCTGAAAAGTCACATGCATGAGCAAGAGCTGGCAGAATCAACAGACTACCAATCTGGGCCCGTCCCTGCGACTACCAAAAGAATGCAATCTATTCAGTTTCCATAGTTAACACAGCCCATAATTCAGTGTTTTTGGGAGAGGAGTGATTTTGAGAGATGCAGCAGGGTTTAGTACTGAGCTGCTGACAAACTTGGTTCTCCTCCGGGACAAGGAGAAAGAGATGCTCCCCCAGTCACACTCCAGGAGCAAACTGCAGCTGAGCTGCCAGGTTATACTTGCTCTGGCCAGAAGGAACAGGGCTGCGGTGGGGTGGGGGGGCGGGGAAGCAGAGCAAAAGCAGCAGACGAAGAGAGAGACACCACAAGCCTGGATCTCCCAGAGCAATCCTGTTTGTGGTGGGACAAAAAAAATCGAGAGGAGGAGGAGTTCCATGGGATTCGGCAATAGTTTATCCCACTTCAGGAATGGGGAGCCAAAGGCACTCTAGGGGCCAAATCTGGCTCCTTTCCCTGACAGGCAAACACTGGGTGGTTTTTCAGCTTTTATACTTTTTCCAATTTTAAGGACTGAGATGCCTGTCCTTAGTTACTGGCAGTAGGAGGTTTATGTGAAAATATGTTGACATTTTTGCTATTTTGGTCCTGCCTGCCACTGGCATGTAGCCCAAGAGCTTCTTTGAAACTGAATTCAGACCTTGGGCTGAAAGAGGTACTCCTCTTATCTTTTTAGTATCTGGACATCTAACATCCCTCTCCACAGCCTAGAGCAGCCTTCCCCAGCCTTGTGCCTTCCAGCCACATTTAGACTGCAACATTTAGAATTCCTAGTTAATGGCCCTGCTGGATGGGAATTAAGGGAGTTGTGGTCCAAATGCCTCTGAAGGCCACCAGGCTGGGGAAGGCTGGCCAAGAGAATTCAGATTGCTCTCCCATCTTTTGCCCCTGGAATTCATCGTTCCCCACCTCGCTCGACTGCAGCAAGGCCACCTCTTGCCAGGCAGATCACCCTTCTCACCTCCTTCTCAAAAATGGCCTGGTGCTTCTTGGCAAGTTTCTCAGCCTCAGCAGAGAAGTTGTTGCGGTGGGCCTCAAGCTCCTTGTCCAGCCGCAGCTGGTGCTCGTCCAGCTCTGCCCGGAGCTTGTTCTCCAGAGCCAGCAGCTGCTTCTGATGCTGGCGCCGCATCCGCTTGTAGCCACTCATCTGATCCCGCAGTGCTGAGTCTTGTTCATGCTCCTGGATCTGGCGAGTCACCTGGGGCCACAGGGAGAAGAGAAAACCTCAGCTTAGCCTGAAGTGCAGCACACAGACCACACTACACACATTTACCATCACATTTAATGTGTATCTGGTGGAAGGCAAGAAGTGTTGCCACACTCCTTGCCTTTATCATCCTCAATGACTGACCCAGAAAAAGCTGGAATTTGAGAATTAGGGATACAAGATCTAGTGAATTAATCCAGACAGAAGAGCAAAAACAGTCCACAATTAATCTAAGAAAGTCCCAAAACATTTTTTCTTCTGTTGTTATGTTCTGTCAGGTTGCCTCTGCCTTATGGTGACCCAGTGAATGAAAGCCGTGCAAAATGTCCTGCTTAGCCGTCCCAAGTCCAAGGCTGTGGCTTCCTTTACAGAGTCAATCCATCTCTTGTTTGGTCTCCCTTTTCTTCTTCTGCTTTCAACTTCCCCTAGAATGTCTGTCTTCTCCAGGGAGTCTTGCCTTCTCATGATGTGTCCAAAGTAAGTGCCTCAGGTTTGTAATTTTTGCTTCCAGGGCAAGCTCTGGTTTAATTAGATGTAGGACCCACTTGTTTGTCTGTCAGTCCAGGGTTTTCAAAAAGCTCTTCTCCAGCAGTAAAAATATTTCTACTACCGGTTAAAAAATTCTGCAGATAGCAGAAGCCGTATTTTCCCATGTACTTTTCGCATATACTCCTATCCACCCCACTGAGAGCTGGGCATGAGGTCCTTCTGAAAAAGCCTTCCCGAAAGGGATGGCTATTAGAAGAAGGGCCTGCTTGGTGGCTGACCCCCACCTTTGGAATGGGCTTCCTAGAGAGGTCTGCCTGGTGCTGCCACCACTTTCATTTTGGCACCAGGCAAAAACTGTCTTCTTTCACAGGTATTTTGAGATGTGATTTTACCAAATGATTGCAAAAGCTCACTCTGCTACCAGCAGCTCTTTTTTCCCTTTTCCTCTCCCCGACACCCCTGCCAACACTCGGAACTGTACTGCTGACCTGTATTATTATTGTTGCGTGCTGCTTAGAGAGCCCTGCCAGACTATTCAGCAGCCTATAAATTTGAAAATAAATGAATAAATACCTTTACTATTTACATTCTGTCTTTCTCTCGTGGAAGAAAGGTCACTGGGAGTACTTCTAGCTAGGCCAGTGGCGGTGAACCTATAGTACGCGTGCCACAGTGGGCACGCAGAGCCCTCTCTGTCGGCACGTGAGCCAAGTCGCCCCAGCAGCCGAGCATCGGATAACAGCGCACATAGGGGCCATGCACATGCTCAGAAAGGAGTTGCAGCTTCAAGCGATGATGTCACAAGCTGCGACTCACTAGCCATGACTTGTCTGAGCTTTTGCACGGCCGGCCAGTGAGCTGCCAAGGATATATATATATATATTTGCTTGGACTGGTTGCGAGTTATTTTTTGTAAACTAAAACCTCAGTTTTCAGGTTTTATTGTAGTGTTAACACTTTGTGATAAAGAAGTGGGTTTTGGGTTGCAGTTGGGGCACTTGGTCTCTAAAAGGTTCGCCATCACTGATCTAGGCAGTCACCAGCTGCAGCTCCATTTCCTTATTTATACATGAATTTATGCATTACTTCCAATGAGACCTCTGTGGCACAAGCCTTCAGGATCATGGTCTGATATGGCTATTCTCTTTCATGCACAAGGGTGTTCCAGTTCTAAGATGGTGCCCGCTGCTTCATGGGCATGCATAATCTATAAAAGGCACTATTCTTCAGAATTACTTTTTCATTCATATGCAGATTTATCAATCAATTAAAGAAATCAGAATCAATTAGTTGCATGAGTTTTACGGGGGCAGGAGACTAATGGAGAAACAGAGTACAAGGAATATTTGTACTCTTGCGGTTATAAAGCCTGTTGGAGAAAAGCCCCAAAGGCAAGTGCCTTACAATAGGAACTGCTACTTGGGTCAACTTTTGGGTTCAGATTCTGGGGACAGAAGACTTATAAAGGAGAAAATAGAAGGAATGGAAGTGAAAGAGGACAGAAAATTGTTGCTGCCTGGAGTCTGAGATGCAAACCTCAAGCTGAAAAGCTGTGGTCAAGTTATGGAATGACAGACCAGTGTAGGAAAAAATTACATCTGTTACTTCCTGCAGCTAGCAGCTTCATTAGTTGGGAGTATTCTCATACACCTTGTTAAAGCCAAGGGTAACATCAGTTGCCTAAAACTACAGAAAAAGCCTTCTTGCAGGTTCCTGTTCATCCAGTATGTCTTTCACCAATCCAGAAATAAAATTTAAATTGACAACTAGAAGGAAGGAAAAAAGCCAATAAAAAGGCAGGAAAGTTTAGTGGAATCACCAACTGAGTTTATGTGACACGACAACCAAACATGGCAACAAGCCATTGTAGGTTGGTTGCTTCGCAAAGTATCCGTGATGAGCCTGACAAAAAATTGGACTCACTGTGTGTCCTCCCTCCTCCTCTCTCCCTTGTTCCTCTAGGTGGCATCCCAGAGGCACCATGTGGAAATCTCAGCCACTTCAACGGTCTATTCTTGAGCTGCCAGCAATAAGGGATGCTTTGTATTGCAGCTGGCAGGGTAAAGCTTTGGACAGCAGCCTCCAGTGCCACTGGGGCACTTCAGAGGTGGCTGACAATGCTGCTTACTTGGCAGCCACTTGTGAAGAGGAGCAAGGGGTTTTGGCTGCTCCCACCAAGCCACCTGCTGGCACACCCATGGCTGAGGTCAGATGGCAGGACAACTCACCATGGGAGACAGTAAACCCTAGAACAGCCCATAGGCATTGCAGGGTGGCTCGTTTGAAAAAAAATAAGGAACCCCAAAGAAGCAGCCCATTTACGTGATGTGACAGCCCACCTCCAGTAACAAAAAAGGGTGGGTTCTCATGTTCTCTGAACCAGATCACTGAATCCAAGGAAGATCGTACCCTAGGGAGGGACCTGATTGACTTATTTGCTTGTTTCCTTTCCGCAGTCCTGGTTTTTGCAAATACACTTTGCTAGCTTTGGGGACATGGGGTCATAATCAGCATGTCTGCCTTCTTTTTTTAGAGAATAGAGAATCTCTTTGTTTGACCATGACCCTTCCTCACTTTTTGAGGCTGCTGCTGACCATCAATCCTGAATGAGCTTTTTGGGTTTGGCTAGATATTGGGTTCCCGAAGCAAGCTGGGAAAGATTCAGTTTCCCCTGCTCTATTTTATTTTAATCATTGTTAACACTCAGGCTGCACCACCTTTATTTGTCTTGACACATTTTCCTTCAGCTTCAGCTGATCCATCAGCTGCATCTCTTCCTGGAGAACAACTGCCTGGCAACAGTGACACACGCGTTGGTAACTTCCCGATTAGATTTCTGCAACGCGCTCTACGTGGGGCTACCCTTGAAGACGGTCTGGATACTTCAGTTGGTGCAGAATAGAGCTGCCAGGCTGCTGACGGGGACTGGGCGTTGTTCTCATATAACCCCAGTTCTCCGTCAGCTCCACTGGCTCCCCATTGAAGTCTGGGCCCAATTCAAGATGTTGGTTATGACCTATAAAGCCCTCAACGGCTTGGGTCCTGGGTATCTAAAGGAACGCTTGCGTCCATATATGCCCTCCCGCCCCTTGAGATCAGCAACAGATGCCCTTCTCCGGGAACCCTCTGTGAATATTAGGAGGGTGAGTACTCGGAGGAGGGCTTTCTCTGCGGTGGCACCCCACCTATGCAATGCACTCCCCAGAGAGGTCCGCCTGGCGCTGTTATTTGTTTTTTGGCACCAGGCTAAGACCTTTTTATTTAAAACTTATTTTAATTGTTAATTTATTGGTATTTATGCACCAGGTTTTAATATTTTTATTGTATAATTTGTTATATTTGTATATTTTGTTCTTCTTGTGAGCCGCCCCAAAGCTTTGTTGCGATGGGGGCGGCATAAAAATGTTTTAAATAAATAAAAAAACAAACATTTTCTTCATTTTTTCCCGAATTAATTTTCCTAGCTAGACTTTGTTTCTTCCAATCTTTCTCTGGGTTGAAAAAAAAACCTTCCTCTTTACATTTCTGCTCAGGATAGAGCTATTAATTTCCCTTTTTATTTTCCCTTCCTTTTCCTTAAAGGTTTGGACCGGACTCTTACATAATTGGAAGCTTTAAAAATTGCATTTAGCTAGTTTAAATTGGTGAGAGATTTAGTAGAGCAATGTAACAATTCAAACTGTTTGGCTAATTATAACTTTCACAGTTGTGCCATTTAATACTGTAATGTAGCTTCATTTGATACTGTAATGTAGTTTTTCTAAGTATTGTTTTCTAACTGCAGAACTGAGTTAAACTGTCATTTATTTTATACAGTGTAATTTCTGCATGTAACTTTCACATGGCTTTGTAGTTCAGGGGTACACATATATTTTCTCTGCAATTATTACAGGTTTCAAATTTGAATTCTGTATGTGAAATTCTTTTGCATTTTTAAAAAATAAACCATTCTTATCCAAGGATGTCCTGTATAGCATGTTTTGATTTGTTTAGCAAGTTGAAGGGCATTCCTTATTTTCCTCCTTAAATTTTAAAATAGTATTTGTAAATATATTGAACTTTTAAATAGCTTTTGGTCAGCTCTGGTTATATTCACAGTCACTGGGGCAAAGCTGGAATCTCGTTTTCAGGAATCTGCACTGATCTTGCTTGGTCAGGCCCAAATGATAAACCAAGTATGACAGATGTAACTGCCAGTGACGGATCTTTGCTCTATGACTCTAGGCAGCCCTGTTCTGAACAGGCAACCATAACCAACAGAAAATCTTGTATTCTGAGCCCTTAATATTTCTTCCCACCTTAATCCACCTTGCTTCCTGCATGGGGTTCACAGATTTCACTCAATCTAAAACGTTCACTGGCTGTACTGAGAGGAAGGAGGACAAGTCAGGAGGCAGCAGCATCTGCCACTCAGAGACTAGCTCTCTAACCATGTAGTTTCTGAAAAGCAGGACCAGGACTAAAACGACGTGGAGGTTGAGCCTGCCTTGAAGCAGTGGCTTTGTTCACTGCCTTAGCATCCACTCACCAGGGAAGCCGTACGAATGGTGGCAAAGTGATCTCTGTTGCGGCAGTAGGCACGGCGCCGGGCAGCAGATGATGAGCTCTGGGGCTCCATCTCTGGCTGGTATGGATCATCGTACAGGTTGTCATGGCCCTGAGGCACCAAAACAGGGGTGAGAAACTTCAAGTCTCTGTTTCCAACATTCTCCTTTCCATCTCTCTCCAAGAAACATACAGCAGATGAGCAAATTCAACAAGCCAGGGAACAGCATGACCACATATGATTTAGGGCAGATATGCTACGCTAAGGGCAATGAATCAACCACGCGATGGTTTGGGGCAAAGGGGGCCTCAGCCACATTAAGGCGCTAAGGAGGAATTCAGCCTTCAAGCTTGGAAAGTGTGTAGTCGTGGACTGGTATCAAAGCACAAACTAGTCTACAGTTTTCAGTTGGAGCACAAACGGAAGATGCTGTGAACAGGCTAAAAAATGATTCATAGGGACAGTTTTAAGAATGATTGAGAAACTCTCTATGTTTGGCCCAGAAAGAAAGTGGGGGAGGGAAAAAAATTCTGACACATTTTCAGACTGCCTGGAAAAAGAAGGGCAAAAACAGTTATTCAACCTGTCCAATGAGAGTATAGCAACATTGGGCTTAAATCTGCATTAAAAAAGATTTAAGCCCAATCAGAACTTAAGAAAATGTTTCTTTCTTCTTTTTTTTTTTTTAAAGAGAACTGCCAGGAGGGAGAACAAACAACACTTAAGGAGGAATTAAGCTATGGAGAAATCTGCCTGGGAAGTTTTCAAAGCTAGGAATACTTTAGGCATAGGATAGTCAGCCTAAGGGGAACAGGTTAGGTGAGATGACCTGCTAGATCCCAGCTCTGATTTGTATCAGAACTACTTTTCTGCCCTTGACCCCACACACATACACAAAGCCACCACTCTCTTTCTCCCACTATCCAGGTTTTAAACCAGAGTCTTTTCTTCTTCTTTTAGCCAGCCCATGTTCAAAAGATGGGCTCCTCTTTCAAGCTGCCCACTTGGCCAGGACCAATATAGAGTTTCCAATTTTTATCAATGATTGTCACCATCCAAAAGCATGGGAGAGCTAGAGGAAGGCCAGGCAGCTGGCATTTCCAACCCAGCCTTCCTGCATCTGACCACTGGCTAGAGCAGGAGCTAGAGGTGCTAGGCTTCCACCTCTGATTCTAACCCTCAGGTTTTTCCAAGCCCACCCTTCGTTCTGCTGCTTCCTCCATTTGGGTGCCCTTGCTGAAGTCAACAAGTCTCCTACCGGAAGACGGTGGATGACAGAGCTGTTGGAGGTGACTGTGTGTTCGCCTTCCTGCATCATGGCGATCTCGGCTCCATCGTCATCATCGGAGGCATCAGCCAGGCTGTTCACGCTGCTGCTCTGGCTGCTGGCGCTGATGGACATGCTAGGCACCGAATGGCTGCTCTCCATGCTGTTGATAGTGCCTGTCCGGTGCAGAAACTGCTCTACCTCCTAGAGGGACAAAGAGGGGAAAGTGGCAGCAGCTGCCTCTGGACTAGGGTGTGAAGGCTGCCTCCCCAACCCAGACTACAACTCCTATCATTCCCAGCCAGAATACTGTCAGTCAGGATGGAAGTCCTAACCTCCTCCTCTTCTGGTGCCTCTGCATTTGGGCCATTCTGTGCCTCCTGGAAGAGGATTTTCTTCATCTTGCGGTACTGCAGGTTGTCGAGCTCCCTCACAGCATCCTTGGTTCGCTGGATCAGGTCCATGATAACCGTTTGGGGTCGCTCCCTCAGGAGGAAGCGATGCTGCAGGGCCACAGGAAGAATTAACATGAGGTTTAGTATATTGTGTGCTGGAAATGGCTCCCCGTGCAACAGCATTCACAGATCCCTCCAACCTGCAAGTGCACTAGTTGTGTTCCACTAATGACTAGAACTGAACACACAGGGTCAGGTCGCAACTTAACCATGCTTACAGTATAGCTGCTGAAAGTGGTACACCAGACATGATTAAATAAGTCCCACTAATTCCAACTGGTCTCTTCTGAATAAGTGTAAGCCTGGATCCAGCCAATAGCGTGCATGCAGTCCATGGGGGAGGTGAATGAGAAAGGAGCTATAAATACTTTGAAAGACATATGTGAGGTTTCAAGTCTTTGGATTATATAAAATTTCAGGCCCAAACTGATACCATATAGGTGGTAGAGAGCTCTCAACAACAGGAAGGTATGCTACTGATGGCTGTTCCTTGGGAAGACTCTGAAGCAGAGTAACTCATGAGGGGAGCTCACACATTTTCATAGGGCTTACTCGGGTATTCTGACATTTTAGCAACTCCCACCAACAGTTCTCCACTCACTACACTTGTCTCCTAAAACCCAGTTTCTGTAAGCAGCTTCAGGCACGTTGGGCTGGGGACAGGAGAGAGAAAGCCACCACTCAGGAACACAACTGAGTCGAACAGTACCTTGAGCAGCACGTCAGAGGTTGGGCGGTCCTGGGGGATCTTCTGCAGGCACGAATCCACAAAGTTCCGGAAATACTCAGACCTGGAGGAAGCAGGGAAGGGATGTTCTATGTCCTTCATAAATGAAATATCTGAAACCTCCTCCGCCCCGCCCCGCCCCCATATCTGGGCCGCCAAAGTACCCTTCCCTTTCACTCAGCACCAGTATTTTGGGCCTTTCCTTACCAGTGGCTGGACTGGAGCAGTGGAGAATCATTCTGGGCGATGTGGTATAAGGCACTCATAGCATTCATGTTAAAGAGGGGTGGTTTGCGCTCCGCTGGGAACAGAGAAACACTGATATGAGTGCGGGTAGCCCCCTTCGATGGGAGAACCCTCTTCTCTCCCCACACCTTGCCATTCCCCACATGGCTCCAGTCTTGTTTAGGGCAAGGAAGTTCTTGGAGCCCCATCTCTGCCCCCAGGTATTCATTCCTTACCAAGTTCGATGCAAGTGATGCCAAGTGACCAGACGTCCACCTTGCCATCATATTGCCCTTCATCCATGGCCAAGATCACTTCAGGAGCCATCCTGGAAAGACAGTCCAAGACAAAGTGGAATACCAGCACAACACAGAGCCTGGAAGAACCTACATTCTACACTTCAGTATCCTGTTTTCTTCCTTTTCATCATTGCCCTCTCTCCCCTTCAGAAAACCAAAGACTCCCACCACATTATCTCATCTACTAAATTCTCCATGCTGTTCAAGGAATCAAGGAGTCCAAAACTCACATCCAGCTATCCACCCTTCACTATTTCTTCTGACACATTTTAACTCAAAACACCATTAACCTCCCAAAGGGGTGGAGCACTTCCTGCTTATCACCCAGATTACATGCATATCCCACTCTTGCCAACTTACCAATATGGGGTGCCAACAAAAGAGTTAGCAGGAGCAATGATGGAGGCTGAGCCAAAGTCCCCCAGTTTCACTTGTCCTGGTTCAGTCAGCAGGATATTCCCAGCTTTTACATCTCTAGAAAGACAGAGGGAGCTGTTAAGAACTGTACATAGAAGCAGAAATGAGGGCCTGAGGTCACAAAATGGGCAGCTGACATGAAAGAGTGGGAGAAGTTTTGAAAAAGAGTATGGACTCGTGACAACAAATACAGATACTAGAAACACATGTCTGAGGATAGACAGAGGTTGGCAGAAAAGAGATCAACCAGGTATCCAATTCAAAATAGTTTAATGATGGCAAGAAAAATAATTTTTCCACATGATGAAATGAAACAAGCCTGGGGTAACTAAAATGGTTTGTTTCTTTGGAGGAAGGGCTGTGAGCTGGTACTGAAAACAAACTTCTAGCCTTACAATGTGCTCAAGAGTTCCCTGTTACTTGAATTTTAATTTTAGGCATGTGTCTTTTGCACTTAGCCTTGAATCGTGACTCTTGTTGGGTATGGGAAAACACAAAGTTGATGTGAAAGCCTGCAGTCTGTCCAACCCTCATAGAAGCTGGGGATGGTTCAGCTGGCATGTCTGAACCCTAGAAAACAAAGATTGTGACTTGTACAACTTTTCTGCCTGAAGGTCATGTAAGAAGGAAGATACAGAACAGTGTTGAATTACACTGGATGTATGGAGAGAGAAAGGTCCAAACTTCTACTTCTAAGCCAAAAGCTGCCATTCACTATTTCTCCAGACATAAATTAGGTGGTAAGAAAGCACTTTTCTGCAGCAATATCTGGCATAGAGGACATCAACACAATGCAACACACAGATACACCTCCAGTGGCACATGCAAAGGGGTTTCCAATGCAATGCCTATCGACATTTTCATATGTTTTTAATTTTTTTTTACACTTTTAATATGTATACATGGATTTGTATGAAATGTATATAATTTCCAAGTAATTATACACAGGCTTTAATAAAAACAGATGAAAGATCCAAGTATGTAACCATTCAAAATTAGCAAGTATATGCTACCTGTTCATATTATCAAAGGGGTTCTAAGGTCCTCAATCTATTGCATTATAAGAGCATAGTTTATCCTTCCAGTCATTTAACATCCATCTTTTAACTCTCAGAAGGACAAAGACAATCCAGTTTCACTTCCGTTTATTAATTTCATGAAGCAAGTATGTAATTTAAAAGTGCACACATTGATGTATCTTAAAGATGGTTCCAGTACAAAATGTAGCCATGCAATATCCTCCTCCTTAAAAGCAGCAGCTACTGGGCATTGCATGTTTAAAGGCAGCATTAGCTGTATCAGAGAATTCCTCATTAAAGAAATGCTATAATGTTCAACACATACAGCACATGCTTCTACTGAATATGACAAAGCCTAGGATCCACAGATATGACAGGTAGATGACAAAGTGACAATCCACTTCTCAGGTGTTTGTGGTGGTACTCACAGCAGTTTTTTAAATTCCCAAACATGCTCATGGGTCCAAAAATGCTAGAGACCTGTGCTCTAGAGCATACCATATTCTACACCAAATCAAGTCTCACATTTAGTTCACACATTAAACTTTTCTTTAGCATACAGATGACACAGAATCACATTGCTTTATCCATTTCTGCTGTGAAAATGTTCTATGCCAGTGCTGGCGAACCTCTGGCACGCGTGCCACAGTGGGCACACAGAGCCCTCTCTGACAGCATGCGAGCCAAGTCACCTCAGCATCGCCCCAGCAGCCGAGCATCGGATAAAAGCACACATAGGGCCATGTGCATGCTCAGAAAGGAGTAGCTGTGCCAGGCGATGAGCCATGGCTCATTAGCCGCGACTCATCCGAGCTTTTGCATGGCCAGTCAGTGCACTGCCAAGTGTGTGTGCGTGTGTGTGTGCGTGTGTGTGTATTTGCTTGGACTGGCTGTGAGTGTTTTTTCTAAACTAAAATCTGAGTTTTCAGGTTTTATTGCAGTGTTGGCACTTTGAGATAAATAAGTGGGTTTAGGGTTGCAGTTTGGGCACTCAGTCTCTAAAAGGTTCACCATCACTGGGTTAGAGTTCGAAAAATGAGGTGTCCTGGCATGATTTTGATGGTTGGAATGTGTATAGAATGGGCAGAAATGTTGAGCTGTGCAGAACAAGCTACTCAAGGAAGGCTTTTTCAAAATCGCCCCTTTCAATGGAACTTTAGCCCTATATTACGGCTAGGGTTAGGCCAGTGGTGGCGAACCTCTCACACGTGTCACAGCGGGCATGCAGAGCCCTCTCTATCGGCATGCAAGCAAAGCTGCCCTAGCATCGCCCCAGCAGCCAAGCATCGAATAACAGCGCACAGAGGGGCCATGCACATGCTTGGAAAGGGGTAGAGGCACCAGGTGATGACATCATGAGCCATAACTCATTAGCCGCAACTTGTCCAAGCTTCCGCATGACCGGTCAGTGCGCTGCCAAAGTTTTATATATATTTGCTAGGACTGGCTGTGAGGTGTTTTTTTAAAACTAAAACCTCAGTTTTCAGGTTTTATTGCAGTGTTGGCACTTTGTGATAAATAAGTGGGTTTTGGGTCACAGTTTGGGCACTTGGTCTCTAAAAGGTTCGCTATCACTGTTCTATGCTTTCCACTGGCTGCTGGCCTTTCTGTCTCCCAGACCACCACCAATATATGTAGTCATTTAGGAGAGCTTTTCATCTCACCTGTGGATCATATTGTGCGAATGCAGGTATGCAAGCCCCTGAAGGGCTCCGTGCGTTATAGCTGCAATCTCTACTTCTTGCAGTGGTTTCTTGTGCACTAGGAAGGATGAGAGGGGAAAGATGGTGTCATGTATAAATTTTGCAAAAGGGACAAGGAAAACAAAGTGCATTCACATGCTCTTGGATACTCACCTTCCAGCAAATCTGAGGCTGAGCCAAGGCAGTATTCCATCACCAGCTGGGGGGTAAGCGGGCAGGAAGAGTAGTTAGCACAGAATAGAACATTCCTCTCAGTCTCAACCATCTGGTCCCAAACAGGTCCCCTGCAGCCCAGTGCCCACAAAGCCTGGTACTCCAATTCACTTAAGAACATAAGAAGCACCCCTGCTAAATCAGACCAGAAGGTCCATTTAGTCCAGCATCCAGTTTCCCACAGTAGCCACCCAGGGGCTTCAGGAAGCCCATAGGCAGGGTGTGGAGGCAAGAGTCTTCACCATGCCACTGCACCTCCCTGCTCCCCCCTCAGTAAACTTGGATTCAGAAATTTACAGCCTCTGAACAAAGGGGCTGCATTATGCTTCATAGCTACTCTTTCTTCACTAATTTCTTGCAACCCCCTTTTAAATCCATGACCCTGCCACAGTGTTATTAAGACCTTAAGACAGTCCCCTGCAACCTGATGCCTTGTGGGAATCTTGGACTACAACTACCAGCATATGTGGACTAGGGGACGCTGGAACTGCAGTTCAACACATCTGGAGGGCAGCAGGATGCCAAAAGTGAGGCGTTCTGTATTGAGTGAAGTGCTCTCTCTTGTCTGCTCCCGACTTATCCGTAAGCCTAATTAAGTAGCCCAGACACCATTCAGACCCCTTGTAGGCCTCCCTCCTACATCCAAGCTCAATAGCCCTGACACATGAGACACACGCAAGCACACACTTCCTCAATGCTTTCATAATTCTACGAAGAGAAGAAAAGTATACTGGGCATGCTTATGCACAAAGGATTTTCCTGAACTGCTTTCTTCTCATCTTACCCATGCTGTATGTTCCCGCAGATAACAGCCCTTGTATTCAATTGTGTTTGGGTGCCGCAGCTTTTGCAGAAACTTCACTTCCTTGATAATATCTTGCCATTTCTGGAAGACAGACAAGTGGAGCTTGAATGCAGAGAGTCTGGTATTCCACAGAGAGAAAGCAACAAGGTGTGAAGCCTAGCAGAACTAGTAGTTCTTCAACGATACAGAAACCAGGGGAACTGGACTATCCAGGGTCACTGGTCAGCCAGCAGTGGCTAGTGGTCAGAATGGCTCTTATGCAGAGGAGTGAAGCACAAACCTCGTTAGACTGCTTCCCACTATAGGACATCTTCTTGATGGCCACCACTTCATTGTTGCGAATGTCTCGGGCCTGAGGAAGGAACAGAGGGTAAGCTAATGGAAGAGGAAGCTGAAAGCAGCAGCCAGGTAGTCAAAAGCCAGGTGGTGGTTTGTTTCTGTGCCTGAAAGAGGCAATGCAAACCAAAAGGCTAAATCAATTTTGTGATTCATGGCGAATGAGGCACTCTCAAAGACAGTGGGAAAAAGTGAAGCAGCTCAGAGTTAAGAAATTCCTGTTATAAGAACATCAAAAGAGCCCTGCTGTACCAGACCAAAGGGCCATCTAGCCTAACGTTCTACTTCTCCCAGCGGCCAAGCAGGAACATCTTGGAAGCCCACAGGCAAGACAGAAAGGCAACAGCTCTCCTTTCACACTGCTGTTGCTTCCAAGTAGCTGGTATCCAGTGGAATGCTGCTGCCTCTGAATCTAGAGGTTGCACACACCCCTCACAGCCAGTAAGTCTCTCCACAGGGCAATGGAGAGATGTGGTTTTAAGTAGCAAGACCAAGGGTTCTGACCAATGTCAGTATGGAAATGATGCTTTCCACGAGCTCTGTGGGATGGGCATGTTCCCAGCAGGATTCCTCCAACACTCACAAAGTAGACTGCTCCAAAGCTGCCATGGCCAATCTCCCGCAGGTCAACGAAGAGCTTCTCAGGGTCATCCTTGAAGAACAATTCAGCCACCTCAGGATCCTTCAAGCTGCCAGCCCGGGCATTAGACGGCATGGCGGCCGTGGAGGGGGCCAGGCCTCACCTTTGCCCTGCTCCTAAGGAGGGGAAAAGGATGTTAGCAAGCTGGCAGATGGCTAGCAGCATGAGGGCGTAGACAGAGGGTGTACAATGCAGCTATCCTGTTGAAGCTCAACATGATGAGGCCTTGTCAGTGCCTGGATGACAATGTTGTGCCCAGTGCCCCAAGTACCTCAGGGTAAGAAAGGGCAAGGCATAAATCTACCAAGTTAATAGGCCAGAGTATGGATTCCTTTCATATCTGCATCCATGAAAGGAGAAAATGCTCTCTTCATAGAAAAAGCAGAAACACACATCATTCCCCAGAGAAATTAGGACAATAGCTAATGGGAGCCACTTGGAATGGGGACAGGATCACTGCCAGCCAATGGGGCAGAGTTGCACAGGCTTGCAGAAGGTATAGCAGCAGCTTCTGTTTATATGTTCTTGTTACACCTGTGGCAGCGTTCAACAAGGCAGAGGAAATCTGCAAGTCAAGCCTTCTACCAACTCTATGTTCCTCTTTTTCCATGAAGCCCAACAGACTTACAGTTCCATTTATCAAAGAAATATTTAGCAGTCCTGATAAGTCCCCTTTCCCTTCTTCTGAGATGCAAGACATTCTGAATCAGAGTTCATCTGCCTCTGTTGCTTTAAATACCCTCTACCACTTGCTCTTTCAGTCATAGGAATACAGTGCTTGCTGATTTCTCTCTCTCCTCACTATCTGGAATAACTGCTGAAACATGACAGTTTCGTAACTCCACCAACTCATATATGCTCAATGCCAACTTTATCATGTCATGGCCAAAGCCTTGCATAAAAGGTGGTCATGCTCTCACCAAGAGATAATTCAGTTTACCACATCTCATAAGAACATAAGAAAAGCCATGCTGGATCTCAGACCAAAAGTCCATCTGGTCCAGCACTCCATACACATGCTGGGAAACCAGCTGCCCACAAGATGGCTCAAACAGGATGGGTGTGAGACCTCCACCTGTGCAAGCTCCTCAGCAACTGATGTATGCAGGCATGCTAGATAACACACAGCCAGCAAGGCTAGCAGCCACTTATAGCTTCCTCATCCATTAATCTGTCCAATCCCCTTTTAAAGCCATCCAGATTGTTGGTGATCACTACTTCCTGTGACAGTGAATGCCATAGTTTAACTATATGTTGTATGGAGAAATACTTCCTTTTATCTGTCCTAAATCTCCTCCCAATTAGCTTCATGGATGTCCCTGGTTTCAAGTTATGGAAGAGGAAGAAAAATGTCTCCTCTTCTACTTCTCCATACCAAGCACTATTTTAAAAACCTCCATCATCCGGGAGCCCTCTGTGAAGGATATTAGGAGGGTGAGTACCCGGAGAAGGGCCTTCTCTGCGGTGGCGCCCCACCTATGGAATGCACTCCCCAGAGAGGTCCGCCTGGTGCTGTCATTATTTGTTTTTCGGCACCAGGCCAAGGCCTTTTCATTTAAACAATATTTTAATTGTTAATCGGTTGTTTTATTTAGTGGTTTTAAATTATGGCCGAGATACTCCAAATTTTTAATGTTATTCTATTCTTTGTTTATTTAGTCTCTTTGCAAGCCGCCCCGAGGCTTCTGTGATGGATGCGGCATAAAAATGTTATAAATAATTAAATAAAATCATGTTTCCCCCCCTTACTTGCCTTTTTTCTAAAATAAATAATCCCATTTGTTGTAGCCATACCTATAGGGGAGCACCTCCAGCTTTCTCATCATTTTTGTTCCCCTTCTTTATAATTTTTTTCCAGCTCAATAATGTCCATTTTCAAGGAAGGCGACCAGAACTGAACACAATATTCTAAGTGCAGTTGTACCAAAGATTTGTAAATGGGGAATGAGATTCTGGTAGTTCTATTTTTTTATTCCATTTCTAATGATGTTGAGCATGGAGTGTGCCTTTTTCACAGCAACTGCACACAGGGCCCGCATTCTCATCAAGCTGTCTATAACTACTTCAAGATCCCTATTTTGCTCTTTCACTCCTAGCTCAAATCTCCTCAGCAGATACGTGATGTTGTGATATTTTGCCCAATCTTCAATCCCACATGTAAGATGGAAATAGTCATGTTATCCTTCCCTTGTAGGGTTGTTGCTAAATGACATTCATTTTGCTGTTGTCAAGGATAATTGGTGTAACCAGCCTTCCTCAATATGTACTAACTGGGGGGTGCTGAGAGTTGTAGCAAAACCTTTCTGTCCAAACTTGCATAAGATCATAACTTTAGTCTCCCTTATGTCCTTACTTAAAAAAGAGTTAAAGAGCTAAAGAGGAGTAAAAGGTAATTACATCTGAGGCTTTTTTTGACGTCATCAAGTCCAGTCCTTTCCAAGTTATCTTTGAGACTTTCTATTCATGACAGAACAGATAGTTACCTCTACTACTCTCCTCAGCAGTTCCTATGAGTGTAAGCTAAGGAGGTAAATTATAAGGGATTAAAGGGACTTATGGGAAAAGATATTGAAAGAGACTATTGGGATACTTGTACAAAATTTCATTGGGCTTGGTACTCTTTGGCAGGTGATGTGAACAAGAGAATCCTGCATACAGGACATAAAAGTAGGATGGGAAAGTTGTTTACTCCTGACAATCCCCTCAAAGGTACTGGAAGCCTTTCCATATTGGACAATTTTATGCTAACATTACCTGAATGCCCTGGAAACACTTAACTGAACAGCAGCAGGCTGCCTAGAGAGGAAAGCAGGAAAGCCTCCTCTTCTGGGCTGGGCAGGAGTTGCCCCACCAGCTGTCCCCCAACTCACTATAATCGAAGGAATTAATCTAGCCCCTCCTAATCTGGAACACTCCAGAGGTGTTGGACCAACCATGCTGACTTCAAATTATGGGAACTGTAGCACAATTTATCTGGACGGCACTAAGTTGGGGAAGGCAAGATTGATCATCTTCCACACGTGCATATTCTTGTTAAGTTTAACAGGTTAAAATGTTTTCCAAGTTCTTTTCTCACCTCCCAAGCTTTGTATACATGGAAACCTTTTTTTAAAAAAAATATGAGCCTTTCAAGCGTCAAAGATCCAGGTATGCATTTAAAAATGGATGTCCTAACCCTTTTCCTAAAATACATTTGGTCTTGGTACAAGCTGACTTAACTTCTGATTGTGGCACCATAGTGAATTCCATCCCAGAAAGAAACTGGGTAATGCTTCTTCTCTCAGCTGGCACACAGGGCTCTTGCTCTCAACCCCACGACAAAGTGTTCCAAGAAGCCCAAACTAAGGTTCCCTGCTGAGCAGGAGAAAATATTTGCCAGTGGCAACAATGGCTGGAGCCATGATCTGTGGCAGTGTGCTGAATGAGAAAGGGTGTGGGTGGGATGCTGTCCTGCATGCTGGCTCATGCAGGATATCCTGGCAACTGTCCCTGTTTCCAGCAGGGAGTGCCAATGGAGAAGAAATGCTTTAGTGGAGGAATAAGCCCAAGGGAAATGGGTTAATTCCAACTCCCTAGTATAACCTAAGTACTATTCAGACTGTGGCTGGCTGGGTAAGTTTCATCTTTGCTCCCCACAAAACCCAGGGCAGAGGCCTGCAAAGTTGACCCCATTTAGTCCAGAGCAGTGGGCATGAGGATTCAGAGTTACCCCAGCAGAAGGCTTACCACACTCGTAGCAGTCCTCAGACAGAGGAACACAGGAAGTACTGCATTTTTTCACCACCAGCATGCAGTCTCTACCAGTTCTTATGCTGATCCAATGCAGGTGTGAAGTGACTGCATGAACCAGCAGGATATCAGTGTGTGCTGAAATATTCTGCGTGCCTCGATGGTAGGGATCAACTTTGAAATCAGAGATATCTGGATTTGTGCCCCCACCTTGAGTCTTTTTACTATGGGATGGGGTCATTCTTCAGGCCAGTTCACATGAGCATCAGGATAAATAGGATTTAGGACTACTTCCTTTGAAGTGGGCACAAGTGTACATCTAAACCCCATTTGCTGAAAGAAGCCACTTGGGGTCCCTCCTCTTTACCTTCCAGGATGGGCAGTGGGCAACAAACTGACTCCCCTCCTCCATACAGCTGAGAGAAAAACAAGGAAATCAAGAGCAGGCAGGTTGTGTCAAGAGGAAATCCTTGCATTGTTTCATTGCTTCCCAGGGAACAAACCAAACCAAACCAAAAAGGCAAACTGTAAGGCCAGTCTTGGCAGTGGTCATGCCGGCAGGAAGGCATGCGGATGGATTCCTGCTGTACAAGTGGATATCATACCACACTAAAGCATGCAGAACTTTAAGGCAGCCTTTTGAGTTTGGTTTCGGGGGAGATATGATGATTCCACAGGGCAGACATCTAAGACTAAGCCTGACAGAGAAAGAAAACAAGCACCCTTCAGCAGCAGTGGCAACATTGCAACGAGGAGTGCAAGACTAGATCGAGCACTCACCCAAGGCAGACTGGCTAGCGGATCTGATTTCTGGCAGGCAGGAGGGCTGGGTGGCATTTGCTGACCTATAGTGAAGACTCATAAGAGAGCTGATAGGACTGTCTTGAGATTCCCGAGAGCCATGCACTTCTTTACAGCTCCTCCGCCGCTTGGGAAGTCTATGACTGAAGACAGAGTGGTGAATGGAGCTGACATCTTGTGTCCACACCAACATTCCAAGAGTCCATGACAGTTAATCTACAAAATATGCCCTGTTAAATAGCAAAATAATATGTACCTTAAGGAAAAACTAATAATGCCTCTGTGCGGAGGGACAGGATAGTTATATGGGAAGACCTGGTTTATGGCTTTTCTTGGTCTAACTTGCTGGCCACCCTTCCCCTCAGAACAAGGAAAATTCTATACAGAAAGCAACTTGCATTTATCATGAGCTTTGGTTTGCTTACTCTAGGCATATACTGCAGAGGTAGGGAATGTGCGACCCTCCTAAGGTTGGTTGGCTGTAACTCCCATCAACCTCAGTCAGCATAACCAATGGTGAGGGTGACAGAAATTATAGTTCATAAATATCTGGATGCCCACCCTTTCTCCATCTAGTGAATCTACAAGTGAAATATAAAAACAATGTTTTGAATGGCTTGGGCAGATTTGACACAGAACTCCCTGCCTTCTTAACAATCTACTTCTATGACACTACAACCTGAATGTTGTTGGTCAAGGGGATTCCTGCTAGGTGGGTGAGTCTGTTTGAGGTCAGGGAGCTGGACCATTCACCTTAGAAAGGCTTTTGAGCCACACAGAATGAGAGACCTACAAACAAGAAAAATGAACTGAATGACTCTGGATAACAAACTTGGGGAATTACTTAAGATCTCCTGAAGTAACCATGCCTTAAATGCTTGGATAGTGAAGGAGGAGGGGGCACCACATTTCTGGAAAGGGGTAGTGACATGCCTGACTGTTAAGCTGGGAACCTACAGGCTGAGTGGATTGAGAACACTGGATGTAACAGCACAGGACACAAGAACAAAACTATAGAATCACACAACATATTGATGTATTTCCCCAGGTGTTAACTCCTATACTCATAAAGGGTTTCAAACTAGTTCAAGGCAAACCAAAAAGTATGGGGGTTACCTCTTCCTTATTATACCATTTGAGACACATGCACTAAAAATATAATGTACTGATTTTTTATCATGTGTGTTACCCACAACTGAGATTTAAAATTATTTAAATCCCTGAAAGGCCACCTGGATGAACCTTGAGCTGTAACCCTAACTTAGATGAAATTTACTCTTCAGTCACTTAAACAATATAAAATGGACACAGACCAGGGGAAAGCCTTAGGCAATGTGACCATTAGGCCCCAGATCACCCTGCTTTACCTTTGTTAATTAAAGCTACCTAGCTTATCTCAGTAAATCTCCAGCTGCACAGAATGTACAGAAACTCCTTAAGCCAGCCTTCTCCAACCTGGAGCTCTTCAGACATTTTGAACTACAATTCTCAACATTCCCAGTAAAATAAGCAGTGGCCATGTTGGTTGGGGATGATGGAAATTCTGGCATCTTCCAGATTTGATGGACTAGATCAGGGAAGGATGAATTACTTTTTGAGAGAGAACAGGATCATGGGAATGACACACTGGGTCCTTGATGTCCACTAAAAGAACACACAAGCTCCATCAAGCATTCCCCTCTGCAAAAGTCAGAGTTGGCAACTTCAGAGGTAAAAGCTTTCTCTAAAAGCATGAATCAAAAGCAGCAGCAGAAGAACATAAGCCCTAAAAATCACCAGTCTGAAGCCAAGAGTGCAACACTGGAAGTCAAAACTGTCTGGATTGCTGCCAATCTCCAGACATTATCCACCACCCTTTGCAGTACTGGCAACTGAGCAAATAGGATGATTTTTTTTTACTTACTTGGTAAATGCTATCAGCAGCTCCTTACCAAATACCCCAACTGGCCACTGAAAGACCACTGCCAAATAAAGAAGAAGAAAAGAGCTGTTCTTGTCTAGGATGTTGAGCTTGTGCCTCCACACATCCCTCCGAAGTAATTTCAAGTCCCTCTCATCTCCCAAGCTTCCCAATATTCACACAAAGCCTGTCTGTAAACCCGAGCAGCTACTAATACCAGTAGAGCTGTCCAAGCTCTTTACCCTCACCTGTTGCTACTCTTCATAGTTGTAAGCTTTCCAGTGTAACCAAAAGCAAGCAATCCTTTATTTCCAAAAAAAATTATTAGAATAAAGTAGGATGGCAATTTCTGTATGTATCTATTAACTTTATATTCACCTCTGCCATGGAACTGAAGGCAGCATACGCATGGTCTGAAGCAGCCTCCTATCTAGGCACAAACCAGGCTCAATCATGCAAAACTGCTTTACCACATGCCTTTCGACAAAGGAGAGGTAACATGTGGTCCTCCAGATTTTGCTGGACTACAGCTCTAAAATCCAACTGGCCTATGCTCCAGCTAGTCAAACCAATGGTGAAGACTGAAGGGAGCTGTAGTACAACAACACCTGGAGAGCCACACTTTCCATACCCCTACTGTAGATGATGCCCTAGAGTCAACAAATTCACAAAGGCTTAGAATAATACAGCCTGCATCTAGTTTTGCTATTGTTCTTTCCAAAGTAGTACAACCCAGTGCATGTTTGCCTTGAAACATCTCCCACATGCCTCAAAAGGGCTTAATTAAGTTTGCAAGGGTTTCTGCAATCCTATACACGTGCACTTAGAAATCCATTCCATTTGACTCAAGTGGGGCTACTCCTATATAAACAGGCATAGGACTGCAGCCTGAAACATCCTATACTGGCCTCTTCCCTTAAGAAAGCTTCCAGGAAGTTTTCACTTGAAAGGTCTTCTTCCCCAAACTCCAAGACTTATTCTGGAAGAAGACAGTACTTAGAGTAACTGGTGGGTAACTCAGGAGCAACCCCTAGGGGTTGTATTCTACCACTACAGCATTAAAGAAAATAATGCCTTGAGAATACACTGCAGTCATTTTCAGAAATTTGCTGCAGCCATTAGAAAACTATTTTAAGAAAGGACAGCTGAGACCCAATTCTTCTAATGCCCTTTTCCAGCCAGGGGAAATATTTAATTTACCCAGCAAGCCAACTGGGTTTTGCATACCTTTTCATACATGTTAAGAGAATTGAAGAAGCTGCTACCACAAAGCGTACATAAGACAAACTCTCACCCAAGACCAGAGCTAAAAGCAGAAACCAGGAGAGGCTTTGGTTGTTATTGAAAGCACTTCCACTTTTTACATGAAAATATCATAAAGTGTAAGGCTGTTTCACTGGAGACCAGGGCCAAAATCTACTGTATCTCCAATTACTATGACAGATTTGAAAACTGACAGAAAGAAAATTGATGTGTTTGAAATATGGTTCTGGAAGAAAGCTTTGAGAATACCCTGGACTGACAGAAAGGCAAACAAGTGGGACCTCAATCAAATGACACCAGAACTTTCCCCGAGAAGCAAAAATGACAAAACTGAGGCTGCCACCACAAGAAGGCAAGACTTCCTAGAGAAGACAATCGTGCAAGGGGAAATTAAGGGCAGAAGAAGAAAAAGATTACCAAATATGAGACAGATCAATTCCATAAAGGAAGCCAGAGGCTTGAGCTGAGAAGAGCAGAGCTATGAAGGAAGAGACATTTTGGAGGATATTCATTCACAGGGTCACCATAGACTGGAGATGACTTAATGCTATGCACATAATGCCTAAAGTGGAGTTTATAACATTGGGTGCTTGGATAAGTAGATGTACAAGTTCATTCCATATTTCAAACTTCTGAAAATGTGTTTTCAACACTATAACTAACTGCTCTAGCAAAGAACAAGATCAAAGTCAGAAAGATATACAACTGAATACTGTTGTCAGTTACTAGTATATGCCACACCATTGTATGAAGGGCAAAACTGAGGCAGACTCTCGACAAACATAAAACCAGCAGCCGCAAACATAGAAATGAAATCTTGCTCTGCAAACCTCCTGCTTAAGCTAGATGCAATGGATGCATTTAGTTTCTTTTCTGGACCGGACTGTGTGTTGCCTTCTAGCTCAAAGCAATATGTATTTACACCTGAATTGCTTTTCTTAACCTGCAGGTTCCAGGAGTGAGCCCCTCCCATGATGTCATGTCTGGCTCAGAAGAGGCTCAGGATTCAATTTTAGGTCACTGAAGGAGAGACTCTTGCTCCAACAGAAAGAGTCTGGGAGAAATCCAGCACAGGAAAAAAAACAACTAGATGATCACTCAGAAACTAGCAATACCCATTGCAGCAACATGGACAGAATCAAGCTTGAAAATAGCCACTTGCCTGTGGTAAAAACCACCTCCAAGCAACTAATCAGGGAAACTGCAAGAAAGCTGGTTCGTTTTGTTCTCTTGGAGCTTTTGATGTAACTGAAATTACTAAATCAACATATGCAGACAGACTGGTTAGGAACTTTTAGGCATTCATTTGCAAGCGTGCATTAAACTAAACAGACTCTCATAAAAGGCACATGTGAAAGAGCAAACTAAAACTCTAAAGAAACACTGTACACAGAACCATTATCTCTTTAGCCAAACACTTCAGAGGACTTCTTTATGAAAATAATGCAGAAAATGCTTTGTCAAAAGACTTAGAATATAGTTTGCCTGTTCTTGAATGATGAAATGATTTGTTATTAAGGGCATGGTAAAAAGACACAAGAGCCCCAAATGCAACAGAACTTGCAAGGATATATTTATCTCTGACAGAGGGAATGGCACACAAAATCTTCCTTAAGTCCAATATAACATTCAAGTTAAGATTAATATTGTTAAATGCATACAAGAAAAATGTTCTTGGATTTTTTCCAATCCTTCCTTTGAGAAGGCACATCTCAAAGTAGGCATGTGACCACTTGAGGAGATAATGCCCCAAATCTTATTCCTTGACCCAGGTCAAAGAATATGATCCATGAAACAAGAGGACCTAAAATCTACTTGTTGCATCAATGGCACTTGATATAAAATGTCATCATTCATCTATTTTGACTCTGAGACTGTACACATACACATTATACAGAAAGTCTACATTGCTCAAAATCTTCTATTTCATTAGAACATGTAAGGTACTAGAACATGTTTTGAGACAGAAATCTGAAAAAAACTCAGCACAGGAGGGCAGGAAAGAACAACAATTTCCATTGCTCAGGAAGTAACTGGTTCTGTCATACACCACTGCCTATAAATGCCACCTCTTAACAGCACCATCAGCCCATCCCTCCACCAAAAGTGGAAAATAATAAACTCAAATATAAACTTCAGAATTAAAACAAAAATGGAAACTACTGTAAGTGAATCAATTTGAATTATCTGTACAATCATACAATGACAAATAGGATTTTACTGTCTCTGGACTGTCTGTTGAATTTGCATTTCTTTGACATAGCATTATTATTATTATTATTATTATTAATAGGCTTATATCAAGTCCACCCCACGCATGCTGAATATATTAGGAAGCAGTCTTTGTAAGTAGAAAGATGTCAAATTGAATGCTATAGGACAAGAGAAACCTCTGACTCTCCTTGCTTCCAAGTGGTCGTATAGTACCTCATTATTCTGCAGTATTTGTGTGATTCTGCCCCTTAACCAAATACAGTTCCACCATCTCATCTCCCCATTGAAAACAAAAATGTTGATAGTACAGAACATCAGTAAAATCAGTAGCCCTCAAGCCTGGGGTACCCACTCCAGCTTCCTGAAATACACTTCTGGTGACATGCCCCTTATTTACAAAAACATTCAGTCAAAATGATAATTCTGAAAGAACCCCAGAGTAGCCCATCATTTACACTAACCTCCCCAACCTATCATTTTAAACAGGAAAATAGGTCTACAGGATTCCTTGAAAGCAGAACTAGATCAAATAGGAGCCAAGGCCCTCAGCTGCTTGGAGTCTAGTAAAAATGGAACTTAACAATCCTGATCCGTGGGTATCAAAGGAGAGGATTAGAAATTTGAAGGCAGCGGTGAGGGGGGTGGGTGGTTGTCAGTCTTCTTTATTCTCAAAGAGAAGAATATGGTACAAAGAACTGAGGATGGTAGAATGGAAAGTCAGGAATTGT